AATGCAGACTGAGGACAATGATGCCCTGGTTTTCGTTTCTAAAATTCCACTTTGGGGACTGGGGAGATGACTCTTTGGTAGAGTGCTTGTCACAAGCCTGATGGTAATTCCGAAGACCCACACAGTGGGAAAAGAGAACCAACTCCTACATGTTATCTTCTGACGTCTAGGCTCATGCATGCCTAGGTGTGTGCGTACTCGTGCACTCAAAATGTTTAAAAAGAAAAAAAAGTAAATCAGGTGTGATAGAACACACCTGTATTCCCAGCACTGGGAAAATGGAACTGGATCTCTAGAACTTCCTAACCAATTAGTCTAGCCAGATGGGTAAGTTCCAGGGTCAGTGAGAGACCCAGTCTCATAAAATAAGGTGGAACCCTGTGGTGGTGGTGGTGGTGGTGCACATCTTTAATCCCAGCACTTGAGAGGCAGAGGCAGGTGAATCTCTGTGAGTTCTGGGCCAGCCTGGTCTACACAGAGGAACCTTGCCTCAAAACACAACACAAAATGTAAGGTAGAGGGCAGTAAAGGAAGACATGCAACATTGACATCTGGCTTGTATACATGTGTGTACATGCACCCACCTACCCACAAATGTACACATGAACACACACGGTGGGGAACAACTGAAGAAGACATATTGATCTCTGGCTGCTGTGTTTGTGCACGTACACTTGTACATATATGTTAAACACACGTGCAATTTATAACATGCTTTCTGTTAATTCTCAAAATTTTATGAGCTCATTTTATATCGGAATGGGTTTGTTAAAATGCCTTCATGTATGTGTATAATGTATTTTGACCATAACCTCCTGTTCTACTCTACACCGATACCTCTTCCTCTTATCCACCTATTCTATTTTAATGTCTCCTCCCCTTATTTCTTAACCCAGTGAGCTTAGCTAATTATTGTGATTTTTATTAAACCTGTAATTCTTTGCTTTTTGTACCTTTAGTTGCCTTAAAAAAAAAATAGTTTTAGGAGGAGCTGGGAGTAAATCAGAAGTACACAGGTAGAACCGGGTGATGAGCTGTGTCTAGAATCCAGTGGTTGATGAGCATTGACGCAGAAATGAAGTGCACAGGTTTCCCTCGTTCTGACCTCCTTTTCTTTACCAGGTGCCCACCCAGGCGACAGCCAAGACTCGTTCTTCCCAATTTGGTGTGAGCAACTTTCAGACTTCCTCCTCCTTCAGTGCTATGTCTCTCCCGGGTGCTCCCACAGCCTCCCAGGGTACTGCAGCCTACCCTGCCCTCACCAACCGTGCATCCAACTTCCGTAAGTTCAGATGAGAAGGGAGATAACAAGAAAACCAAACTACTAAAGAAAGAGGATTTGATGGTTAGAATTGTTTCCCTGTGTCCTTGATGTGCTGACCTAGTTATAAAGGAAATGCAAAGTCCCAGTCTGTTTGAAATTAAAAACCTTGCCCAGAGGATATTGAAATGGCCCATTGGATAAAGTGCTTGACTCACAAGCCTGAATACCTGAGTTAGTCCCCAGAGCCCGTGTACAGGAGCGAGCTGACTCTACCATGCTGTCTTCTGACCATCAGGAGCCACAGTACATATCTCACATGCACCAAACACAAAACAGTAATAAACTTGTAAAACCTTTATAAAAAGTTGCTGTAGGAAACCTATCTCAACACTTACAATAAAAACCACATGAGTTATTGTAATTTTTATAACACTAGTACTACAAAATCCACATATACTTAATGGAATGCATATTTAAATTAACAGAGAATTCTTTAAAAATGCTGTCTCGAGAATGAAACTTAATTTGAGACTGGGCTTTGAAGTAGAGGCATTGGTTAGCAGCTAGAAGGGCAGAAGGTATCATATATAAAACTACTGAGTTTTATGTAGCTGTGTGCTGATTTCTCCCCTCCATTGAAATTAATAGATTCAAACTGTTTATCCTTAACTACATTTCTAGCTCCTGAGAGTGGACAGACTTCAGGACAGTTCCAAACCCGGACAGCAGAGAGTGTGGGTGTCTGGCCACAGTGGCAGAGCCAGCAGCCCCATCATCGGTCCAATTCCAATGAGCAACATGTTCAGCAAGCATCAGCACAACCATCTAGCCAGCCTGAGGTCTTTCAGGTGAGTAGATAAATACTTTGGAGAGAGAGTGAGTCAGGAAAGAGAGATAGAAGGAAGCATACATGGTATTGATTGGGATCGTACAAGAAGATGAGCAGAAGGGAAGACAGAAACCTAGGGGTGAATGTCAGTAATTGACATTATTATCATGAACACACTCGTTCACCAGACCAAAATTACTGATGTGAAGCACCATGTAAAGATCATGAAGGAAGTTATTTTAACTCCTGTACAGAGATCTACATCTCAAAGTAGCTTTGGATTTAAATAGGATAATTTAAAAGTACACTACATAGAACATACTGATTATAGCTATAAATATGTGTTTTTCCCTGAGGGGTGCTGTAAGATTGAATGGGATAATCTTAGGCAGAGAATAAACTAGTCAAAAACACACTAAAAAGAAGACAAAATAGGGTTTGGTCAGAACAAATGTGATGAGATACATTTCAGACATGACTGTAGGAGTTAAGTGAAATGTTGGCATGCATATTTTCTTCCTTTGAAAATATCAAGTGGGACTGGAGACATGACTTAGCTGTAAAGGGCACTGGCTGCTCTTCCAGGAGGCCTGGGTTCAATTTCCAGCACCCACATGGCGTCTCACCACTGTCTGTACCTCCAGCTCCAGGAGTTCCAGCACCTTCACACAGACACACATGCAGACAAAACCAGTGCGCAGAAAGTTTAGGAAAGAAAGAAAATATCAAGGCCTAGAAACAAGGAAAATAAAGGAACTATAGGAGGAAGATGGAGACAGGACTAGGAAAAAGGCTGTGAGGCTAGGCTTCTGCTGGTCAAGAGTGGTGGATAGGGAATGTTGGGCAATAAAAGTAAGGGTATGTAACCCAAATCTAATCTTTTTCTTCACTAGGAAATGTTGTCCATGCTGGGAGACCAGAGCAACACCTACAACAATGAAGAATTTCCTGATCTAACTATGTTTCCTCCCTTTTCAGAATAGAACTATTGGGGTGAGGATAAGGGTGGGGGAAATCACTGTTTGTTTTTAAAAGCAAATCTTTTGTAAACAGAATAAAAGTTCCTCTCCCTTCCCTTCCCTCACCCCTGATATGTACCCCCTTCACCCCTTGACTCTGAAGTAACATTTATAGAAGAAATGAAATGAATTCCCAGGCTTTTAGGGTCCTCTGAAAATCTGAAGACAGGTGAGGTTGGAAGTCCTGTCCTTATGTCTTCTTACCAGAAGTGGCACAGAAGTGGTGTTTGCCTGAGTCAAGGGGCAGAATAGAAGAGAAGAACGCGACAGCACTAATGGCCTTGGAGACTGTGGCTTGTTTTGGATAGAAATTCTGAATAGAGTGGAGGAGAGGAGAAAGAAACATCCTCATAACCAAGGATCATGAAAATTCATAGGTATATGTGGAGCTTTAGGAGGTGAACAATCCCCTGGAAAGGAACATGAAAGAGCGTGAACGTGTGTGTGTGTGTGTGTGTGTGTGTGTGTGTGTGTGTATCTGAGTATCTGAGCCCCTCTGTCATGTCCTTCCTCCCTGTTAGGGAGTATATGCAAAGTTTGTCCCAGATGTTCTTTGTCTTTCTGCTTGGTCTTCAGAGAGTCCTAAAAAAGGTAATTTTTCCAGGTATTTTTGTGTTTAGTATTGCAGCCAAAGAGTATTTAAAAATTAAGTCTTTGCTGCACTTAAACTGATGCCCAGCCAAAATGGAACCTTAGGCCAATGTACAGTCTTCTGTTTATACAGAACACATTAATGATCAAGCTGGATTACTCCTGCTCTTTGGTGCTCTCGTTTTATGTGGAAGATCTGCAGATCACAATAGGCTGGCCAGATAAACACTGTCAGAAATCCCAGAGTTGCCCATAAGTTAATGCTGCATTTTTCTGTCAGAGTCACATGTGTTCTGGAGAGGTTATTTCCGCATGAAAGCTCAACTTCTTGGATCAGCTATCTGAGACAGTCCTCAGCGACAAGGGTATAAACCAGATAGAAAGCCCTGCTGCACTGTAGCCTCTCCTTGCTGTCGTCAGAAGTACGTGTAGGTCTTCCTGACCTCTGCCCTTTGCTCCCTCTCCAAACTTGGATTTGAACTTTGCTTGGAACATAAATGTGAGTCAATGTGTTTGTTGAGTCCGGACTCAGATTCGCACAGGATCACTTGATAATCACAGCCATAGAAACGCAGATACAGCTACTACCTTCACCCTTTTCTGTCCTCAGGTGTGTCTCACGTATCAGTAGCCTTTTTCTTCTTTTTACTGATTCCTGTCAGTATATAAATGAAAGATTAAACTAACACGGAAAGATCTATTAAGTGTATTAATAGGGGTAAGAAGCCTGGATGGAGAGGCTCATGGCGAGGCTGAGGGAATTGTTATGTACTAAGTTTCCCTCCATTTCTCTTCAGTCTGGTGCCAGGCAATAGAGTGGAAAAGGAGGCTATTTTTTTATTCTCTATGCACACATACAGTATCATATATATTTATATCACAATTTACAGAACCAAAAAGTTGAGTTTCCAATGAAATATTTGTTTTTTTAATAATCAGCTTGTTTTTAAATGTGATCGGAACTATAATGTACAGTTATTACAGGGCTTTTGAAGAAGGGGTGGGAGGGAGAAGCTACTCTGAGGGTTTTGTTCTGCTTTTCCTTCAGGGTTTTATTTTTTGATTGTTTTTTCTTGTTAGCCATCTGTGCTAAGCCTTACAGTGGCAAAAATAATGACATGTAGCAAAGATTTTAAAACAGTATTTTTTCTTTTATAAAGTTTATTGTGTTGTGTGATCTTGTTTGCGGCTTCATTATCCCCTTCCAGCTCATAAATAACAGAATGCACAACTAAAACAATCCCTAACTGGGCTCCAAACACATAAGCATAAAGCATAGTTGAGTTGATTTCGGGAATTAGAGATCATAGGGCCCTGATCACTCAGCACCCTGTTCCTCACTTAACCTCCTGATCCTAACACATGGTGAGTAATGTCAGTGGTCACACTCTGCGAGGGGGGGTTGTCTAACTTCTGAGAAGTTGCTGGGAAGAGCTCTTGGAACTTGAAGCCACTGGGGGATATCTGGATGTCTTTTCCCCAGTATGTCCTCCCAGTTAGAAGGTGGTAAGAGAAATGAGGGAATTGTCAATGATAAACTGTTTGAATATGGATCTGGGCTCCCTCTACATTCATGGTTTGCCTTGAAATCCAAAGGCAAATCTGGGCTCTGGAATTGGGGTCTGTGTGAGGAATCCAGCTTGAAACGGAATCTAGATCTGTGGTAATATCCTTTCCATTCCAGCATCCCTCATTTTCTAATTTCTCACATCTGTTTATGGAAAGAAATGGAGTTTAGGGTTATGGTTGGCTGAGCCAGAGTCTTATGATCTGCCACATGCATGGGTTTTGGGGAAGCATTTGGAGAAGATCTTGTGACTGGGCCTAGTTGGGGGTTTTAATAATTGAGATGCAATGCTCATCGGATCCTCCCATCTGAGAGTTTGACGGTAGAGTCACATGTGTGTCCATCAGCCCATTAATGTTGATTCCAGTGTTGTAAATTAGGTGCTACATTGGGTTGCTTTCTTTCTTAGTGTTGTGTTGGCCATTGAGCCCTGGGCCTCATACAGTTTGGCAAGCACACCACCACTGAGTTATGTTCCTCAATCCACTTTTTTTAACTTTCCAGTTTTCGACAGGGTCTAGGGTGGGCTTGAACTTAGGAGTCTGCTCTTACTTATTTAGAGACAGCATCTCGCTGTATAACCCTGGCTGGCTTCAGACTCACTCTGTAGATTGGTCTGGCCTGACCTCACAGAGAACTGTGCCAGGGGAAAGGTGTGCCCACAGCCAGCTTTGATTTTACTTTAGCTTCTCGAGTGTGCACCACTACGCACATTCAACTTTCTGACCGCTTTGACCCGATTTCACCCTGACTTTCTGCACGGCCATGTGGTTTAGAGCGGCTGCTCCCTCCCAGAAGCAGCAACACTATCCAGGGGTCACAAAATTTTTAAATGTTTAAATTGAAGCCTTATATGCCACATATTACTCTTGTCTAGCCTTTGGTGTCCCCCTTCCCCTCCGTGTGTGCTCACACAGTGCTCTGTGCCTGCTGTCATCTCAGAAGATCTGACACAAAATTGAAAATGGTTCAGGGTAAGGGGGTTGGTCCATGACTATAAGGGTAGAAAAGGTGGGGTTCTCCAAGAAGACATTTGAGGAAGGTTGGAGACAGCTAGGGCTGTGTCCTTTCATTTCCTCTCCAAAGCCTCAGTTTGAATAATGTGCTGTCTTATTTTTCCCCCAAAGACAGTCAAATGAAACTGAACATTTAGCAGTTCTCAGGAACATCGTGCAAATGCGTGTCCATCCTTCCACCCTAACCCCCCTTTCTCATCCTATCCCTGCCTCCCTCCCCTATCCAAATTTTCCAGCCACCGCTGGAGTTGACTTCCGCAATCCTGATGGATAAATCTAGCACCCTTAGTCTTCTGCTCACAGTAGCCACACTTCCTGTCTGAAAGGAGCCTAGACAACAGATTCTCAGCCACAGGTAATGTTTTTTAACGTTTTTAACTTCTGGATCTTTTAGCATCTTATTCCTACCAGTTAGGTTCTTTTAAGAAGAGAAAGGATATAGTGAGTTGGTGATCAAATAACTGAAGTTTCCTGAATAAAAAACATAATCTTTCTTAGTTCATTTTCTGGCTAAATAAAATCTGTCTTGAAATCTTTAGAATTCTGTGTATGATTGTGTATGTGAATGAATATGTGGTTGTTGGTAAAAGCAAAGGAGGATTGTGAGCTTTCCCCAAAAGTGGATTTTTTTTCTGGAGTTCCGCTTAACTACAGGGTTAATTGACTCCTGAGGAAGAGGAATAGTTAACAGCCACGTCCAAGCCTGTAACATTCCAGTCATTAAATGTTCTGCTGAATATTGTGTTGCTTTGCAAAGAGTACATAAAAGTGTAGTCAGTATTGCACAAGTTGTATATTATACTGGAGACAGGAAATGGTTTTTAAATTAAGTATGTGCAATTAAGCCAACACAAGAAGTTAATGTAGCCAGAGCAAATTCCTAAAAAGCTATGAACTTGGTTATTAGAATATTGTCTGTCTGTCCTGCATTTTCCTCTTATGCATCTTAGGCTTTTGTCATGTGAAGCAGCCACGTCTCTGGAAAAAAAGAAAAAAGAAAACCCATGACATCTGGTTAAGATTAGGGTCGTTTCCTGCCAAAAGAGGGAGAGAGAGTGAGGAAAGAAGAAATGAATACAGCAAATGAAGGCACAGTGAACATACATACCATAGATAAATAAAAACATTAGTCCTGTTCTCTCCTGGCAAGATAGAAAGGATGCCATCAACAAAGCATGAAGCATACCTGAGTTAGGACTCTGTCTCTAACCACATTCCCTCGTGCCTATTCTCTCCGTGTGCATGGGGATACTGGAGAAGAGTGGTGCTGAGCCTTTCCCGTTACCCATTCTAGTTGCCGTGTATGCAGTGTTGGTGGGACATCTTGAATTGCAATAATTGAAATCAGATGTTTTGGTACCCGCCCCCAACTTCCACCCATTACTGCTTATCATGAAAATTACCTGCAATTCCTTGTCTATTTTCCACATACAGCCAAGTTTGCCAGCCTTGTAGTTCAAAAGAAGTGATTCTTGGGTTGGGCATAGTAGCTCAGACTCTTAATCCCAGCACAGGGTGGAAGGGGGGCAGATCTTTGAATTCAAAACCATCTTGGCCAACATAATGAGCTCAAGAACAGCCAAGACTTAGAAAGCAAGACCATGTCTCTAAAATTAAGAAAGTGTGTGTGCGTGTGTGGTTTCTTTGGGGTTTATGAATCCCTTAGGATTAATACGTGTGTGTGTGTGTGTGTGTGTGTGTGTGTGTGTGTGTGTGTGTGTGTAATTTTCTGTAATTTTAAGAACTTATTTCTAAAGCTCCCGAAAGGTTAGAAGCCGCCTTCCTGGTAATGTGTCTGCCATCATTTCCACATTCACAAGCTGGCTGACCTGTGACCTCCTGCCAATGGAAGTCTGCCCTAATTATTTCTTTACAGGATGTGGGTGTTCAAGTTTCTACTGCTACCCATGTTGAGCTTTGCTCTCTATCCCGAGGAAATGCTGGACACCCAGTGGGAGCTATGGAAGAAGACCCACAGGAAGCAGTATAACAGCAAGGTGCCTGGTCCTGCAAGGGGAGCATGTAGGAGGGCTGAGACCTGAGACCTCTGCTTCAGTCAAATAGGGGGCTTCCCCCCAGCAAGCAGTCCCTATTTCCTAACTCCAACTGACTTTTTCTTGTGTGCTCAGTCCCTCTGTCTGTTGTACAGATATATTAGCTGGAGGAGTGGCTCAGGAATAGCACGAGTCCAGTACTCAGCACCACAGACGTGGCTGTGTGGTGTGTATGTGGGAATGCTCTTTTGGGGAATGCTTCTCATAGTAGTGTTATTATTCTATTGTCTCTTGAGAACTTCGCATACATTTTCATGTGTATGCTCTTAAGAATCCATCATTCCCTAGCTAGACCAGACTTTGGTTATGGTGCATCTTTTCTCCTAAAACCTACTTAGATAACCAAACACAGTCTATGACTATAGTTTATTGACTATTCTATTTAGGTAGATGAAATCTCTCGGCGTTTAATTTGGGAAAAAAACCTGAAGCATATTTCCATCCATAATCTTGAGGCCTCTCTTGGTGTCCATACATATGAACTGGCCATGAATCACTTGGGAGATATGGTGAGTTGTCCTCAGATCCAGGCCCACCCACTATCTTCCCCACACACACCCCCGGTCCCTTCTAATGCTTGACCTCCTCCCTTGTCTCAGACCAGTGAGGAAGTGGTTCGGAAGATGACAGGACTCAGATTACCACCACCCTCTCAGTCCCACAGTAACGACACTCTCTACATCCCAGAGTGGGAGGGCAGAGCCCCAGACGCCATCGACTATCGAAAGAAAGGATATGTTACTCCAGTCAAAAATCAGGTGCTTTCTTGTGTGTGAGTCTGGCTTGAAGTGTGGTATTTAATTCATCACCTATTTTGTATGTTTAGGATTTTTCTACTTTAAAGAACTTGCCGTGTTACAACAAGCACGTTGCACATGTATTTTCCTGCTCAAGTAGAAATGTTTGTGCAAAATCTGAAATTGTAATTACTAGGACATAGAAAATATTTCCCCAAAAAAGGTTTTTACAGTGTTGGGTTCTTATCTTCAGGAGAATCTCAGTTTTTTTATGATCTTAACAGTACAGAGCTATGTCATCAGTAAGGGGAATAATTGATGTAACACTCATTCAGCAACCACCACCCCTCTTCTAGAGTCAAACAGGGACAGCTGGTAAAGATTCAAAACTTCCTCCTCAGGAAATTCTCATTCTTAAAGAGTAGAAATTCTAGAATCCAGGAGAACAAATACTAATAATAGCTGACGATTTCTGAGATTACTGTGCACAAGGAGTTCCTATGATTTCCATGTAAATGAAGTCTCTCAGTGCTCACAAGAGTCGATTCATTAGCTATAGTATCACTCCCTTTTTCTCTTCCTTTGAGACAAGATCTCATGTTGCCCAGGCTGGCCTCCACTCCACTCAGGCTGAGACTGACCTTGAACTGATCCTCTTGCCTCTGCCTCTCAAGGTCACTTAACTCGTGTGGAGTCAGGGTTAGAATCCAGGAGATCCACAGTTATAAAGGACACAGTTGTTATCAGTGGGAGCTACCAAGGCCTCTCAACAAAGGCGCTTGTGCTTGAATTCGTAGTGCGCATGGATGTTTTTAGGCTGCTAGGAAGATGCACCCTGTGTGAGAAGTGATGACTGACTGACAGTTTTTCTCTGTGTCTCAGGGTAACTGTGGTTCCTGTTGGGCTTTTAGCTCTGCAGGTGCCCTGGAGGGCCAACTCAAGAAGAAGACTGGCAAACTCTTGAATCTGAGTCCTCAGAACCTTGTGGATTGTGTGTCTGAGAATTATGGCTGTGGAGGCGGCTATATGACCACTGCCTTCCGCTATGTGCAGACGAATGGGGGCATTGACTCTGAAGATGCTTATCCATATGTGGGGCAGGTGAGACTCCGCCCACCTCAGGGTGGAGCCCTGTGCTGACTCTTCCCCCAGCATGACCTTGTTTGCTGTTACTGTACTGCTGCTTTTTCTTTCCTTCTTTTTCTCCTCTCCTCTCCTTTCTTTCTCTCCTTTCCTTCCTTCCTTTCTTTCTTCCTCTCCCTCACCCTCTCTTTCTCTCCTTTTTTTCTTTTAATTTTGAGACAATATTTTACTGTGTATCCCAAGCTAGTCACAACTAGGTATCCTAGGCTGCCCCCTTTTTTGAGATAAGATCTCATGTAGTCCACATTGGCTTTGAACTTACTATGTAGCTGAGGATAACCCTGAACTCCTCTTGCCTTGACCTTTCAAGTGCTGGTTTCCCAGGCCTGGGTCCCACACATGGCTATCCTGCTTCCTTAATAAAATGGCCATAGAAAGCCAAAATCTCCATAATGTAGAAAAACTTTGAGCATCTCACCAGTTCCATGGAGTTTTTAGTGTAGATAAGACTGGTAGGCAATAGAATTCTTTGTGATGCGAACCTCTGAGAGAGGAGCAGCAAGTTTCAGTGATACAAATGTTGGTGACTGTCTGCTAAAGTGTGTGCTCAGCGTATTTCCTTAAAAGGTTGACTTATCCTTGATTTTTAAGGAGATATTACAAGCTCAAATTCATTATGCAGTCTGTAGCAAAAACCAAATTTTTATAAAATGTATTATTATATGTATTTGTGTAGACAGTGCATGTCAGTATGTGCAGATGGGCTCGTGCTTTCTGAAGCCCAGAGAAAAACTTTCTAGATTCTCTCCTTCCACCATGGGCCCTGGACATCAAACTCTAGTTAGCAGGCTTATTCGGCAAGAGTTTTACCTACTAAGCCGTCTCATCAAACAAGATGTATCCACCAAGCCTGCTTATCCGGCACAGCCTTTCCTCCCACGTGTTCATGTAAGACTTTTATAATACAGAATCACCTGGGCTTGAAGGTGTCTGTATCTTAAAATTTACTCTATAATGTCAAATTGTTTGCCTGCAGTATATAAGAAGTCCCACTAATTCACTGTCACATCCCTGGCCATCTGTGTTTCTTCTTTTAAACTGAGGATGAGAGCCCAGGGGGCATGCCTGTAATCCAGCACCTGGGGTGGGACACGAGGGTTAGGAGTTCAAGATCATCCTAAACTACATGGTGAATCTGAATGTAGCCAGCCTGAGCTACATGAACTCCTCTATGGGGGGAGGATGGAACAAAACACCAAAACCCAAAATAAAATAGTAAAGGAGAGACACTCTTATAGAGTCTAGTCTACTGCTTGTTCATGTGCTGACATTACTTAACATATTTCCCACTCACCAATTAAAGGATAGATTTGAGAAAAGTATAAACTAAAGAACTAGGAATTAGTCACTTAACAATTGACAACTTTCATCTTTTTAGAAAATTATTCTTTATTTTATGTGTATGAGTGAGTGCATGTACATCATGTGTGTGCCTGGTGCCCCACCCCAGAGGTCAGAAGGACATTGAACCCCTGGAGCTGGAGTTACAGATGTTGTCAGCCACCCTGTGAGTGCTGGGAGCCACACCTCGGTCCTCTGAAAAAGCAGGTCCTCTTAACTGCTGACCTGTCCCTCCAGTCTGGCTAGCACAGTTTAGCCAGCACTACACTCGTCAAATTATTGAGAATTTTTTTTTGACTTAAAGTTTTGTTTGCTTTGAGATTGTAGTCCAGACCGGCCTTAGTACACACAGACCCAGCCGCTCTGCCTCCTGAGTGGGTCAAAGTCTGTGCCAGGCCAGGCCCTGATACTTACTAAGTCCACATTCACAAGATACTTCGTTTCATTTGTAGATATGATATTTCAATTGCTCAAGATCCTCTCTCTCTCTCTCTCTCTCTCTCTCTCTCTGCCTCTCTCTCTCTGCCTCTCTCTCTCTCTCTCTCTCTCTCTCTCTTTCTCTTTGAGATCATGCAATGCCAAGGCTTAGCTTGAATTTGAGATCCTCTGTATCATGCTGAGCTCACAGGAATGTTGCCACACAACTATGTCTTGTTGATCTGAGAAGTTTAACACCAGAATCATGTGACAGAGAACAAACAGGTTTTGAGAAATTCAGGCAGTAAGTCACTGTCACCTTAGACATCAAATGCTGGCAGTACTGTTGGTGTTAGATATGTGCTCTTACAGATCCTACCTTAGTGCGTTCAAGGTCTGGTATGTAGGAGAAGAGCTGCCATGAAAAGTGTATCACCTTGACAGACCTCGTATTGTTAGTGAGGCCTGCAAAGCTTGCATGGTCTTGAAAGGTCAGAAGTTAAATTACTTAGCTATTAATTTATTTTCATGTCATGTTATGTACATGTTTCTGTCTCTGATAAAACCATAAACTCTTTTGCCCATACTAGCATTGTTGAGTTGTATACAGTGATCAAGGTCATCTCTCGAGCTGGGCTTGGTGTTGGTAAACTCCCCAAGGAGCAGCTGGTACCTTCCTGCACCCTGAGCTTTACATATACTGTCCAGGCGGAAAATAATTTGCATTTAAAAAAAACCTTTTATTTGAAAAATGTTTTCATATCCTGCATTAGTAAAAACTGTCTCTCAGGGTGGGAGAGCTGGAGCATGCTTGTAATCCCAGCGCAGAGGCCAGAGGGGGTCAGGAGTTTAGGGTCATCACTATATAATTATGTAGTGAGTTCAAGGCTAGCCTGCTACATGGCACACAGTCTCAAGAAGAAGAAGATGCTGCTGACAAGAGCTGGAGAGACAGCACAACGACCAGGAGAAACAGTCTCTTTTGTGGAGACAGTGCATCAGCCAGGAGAAAGTCTCTTCTCTTGTGGAGACAGCGCAGCGGACAGGAGAAACAGTCTCTTCTCTTGTGGAGTTGATTTTTGTGAGAAAGCAGGAAACCACTTGACCTTTTTTCCCCACATTTTTTGTTTTTTTGTTTTTGAGACAGGATCCTACTATGTAGCCCAGGCTGGCTTTAAACTCATGGCAATCCTCCTGCCTCTGCCTCTTAATTGCTGGGTTTACCAGTACGCATTACCAAATCTGGCTTCTTTTCATAGTTTTCTAAAATGATAAGACCCAAAGGCTGGTCCATTGCCACTAACGTTGGTTGCTTTCTTACCAGCTTACTGCCAGTTGATTAACTACAGTCCTATTCCACCTTTGATTTTTCTTTCCAGGATCAGAGTTGTATGTACAACCCAACAGCAAAGGCAGCCAAATGCAGAGGGTACAGAGAGATTCCTGTGGGGAGTGAGAAAGCCCTGAAGAGAGCAGTGGCTCGGGTGGGACCTATCTCTGTGTCAATTGACGCAAGCTTGACATCTTTCCAGTTTTACAGCAGAGGTGAGAGCCTCTCCCTGTGGAGTGCCCTCTTCTAGGATATGGGTGTGGTCCCGATGCCATCTGCTAAGTCTGGTAACTGCTGCAGCACAGGGTCCTCAGTTGTAAACCCTGACCGAAACAAGGGACCACAGAGAACCCTGGCTTCTTTCGTAGGTGTGTACTATGATGAAAATTGCGACCGTGAGAATGTGAACCATGCAGTGTTGGTGGTGGGCTATGGCGTCCAGAAGGGAAACAAGCACTGGATAATTAAAAACAGGTAACAGTCAGAGCAACAGAGGAACAGTCCGTCTTCCCCTTTGTAACACTGATGGGTGGACAATAATGTCCAAAGTATATGCTGGTCAGCTGCTCCTGTGCACAACGCTTCGCTGCACACAGACAGAGGGGCCGGCACTTGTGTCAGGAAGACGTTGCAGTTCTTTCCCAGCACTCTCTCCGTCTCGCCCGGTTCTACTCCAAATGTCCCCTCCCAGAGTAAAGCTAAGCGCCCTAGATGACAGTAAAGGCCGCTCAGCCTAATGTTTTGTTTGGTTGGCCGATGGATTTTGATTTTTTGAGACAGGGTCTCCTATGGCTCAGGTTAGCTTTGATCTCAATATGGCCCCGAACTCTTCAACATTATCTTAATTCACTCCTCAGATCTGTCTCCCACATGGATTTGCTTTATACTCTTGTATTAGCCACGTTGTCATAACACATCTCCCTTTCCCATCTGTCATCAATTTTACAGCCTTTACCTCCTCCTATCCCCACAGACGCCAAGTCTGTTTATCCTTCAGGTTCTGCCTTAAATACCACTTCTTCCTCATCTCTCCTCCTCCTAGAGACAGGCTTCTTGAAGTTGCTGTGTAGACCACGCTAGGATAGAACTCACTGAGATCCTCCTACCTCTGCCTCCCGGGTGCTGGGATTAAAGCCATGTACCACCACACTCAGCCATCTCAAGTATCTGTAAGACCTTGCTTTAGTTTCTTCGGTTGCTGTGGTAGAGGATTCTGACTAAGTCAGCAAAGGAAGACAAGGCTTAGCTCTGTCTCAGGGCACCGGAATGTGGTAGCAGCATCTCAGTGGCAGGAGCTGAGGCTGCTGTCACATCTCAGCCACAGTCAGGAACAGAGAGCTAGTGCTGGGCTACTCCAGGCTCTGTCCCGGAAATAGTTCTCTCACATCAGTTAACATAATGGAGATAATGCCCTTAAAAATAAGACCCAGCCAGTGCTGGTGGCTCACACCTTTATCCCAGCACTCGGGAGGCAGAAACAGGCCAATCTCTGTGAGTTCGAGATCAGCCTGGTCTTCATAGTGAGTTCCAGGACAGCCAGGGCTACACAGAGAAACTCTGTCTCAAAAAAACAAAAACAAACAAACAAGAAAAACCACATTGGCATTCTAGCTGGGCAGTGGTGGTGCAAGCCTTTAATCTCAGCACTCAGGAGGCAGAAGCAGGCAGATCTCTGAGTTCGAGGTCAGCCTGGTCTATCAGAGCTAGGTTCAGGACTGGCTCCAAAGCTACATAGGAACCCTGTCTCAAAAAACTAAAAAAATAAAAAAAAAACTTGCTCATTTTTTAAAAAAATATTTATTTATTTATTTATTTATTTATTTATTTATTATGTATACACCGTGTTCTGCCTGAATGTGGTCCTGCAGGCCAGAAGAGGGCACCAGACCCCATTACAGATGGTTGTGAGCCACCATGTGGTTGCTGGGAATTGAACTCAGGACCTCTGGAAGAGCAGGCAGTGCTCTTAACCTCGAGCCATCTCTCCAGCCCCTTACTCATTTTTTGTATATTATCAGTGCCTAGTAAAATACAGTATGTGTTTTAAGGACTGTATAGATAAGATGCTAAGTATTTTTCTCAATTGGCTCTACAGCTGGGGAGAGAGCTGGGGAAACAAAGGATATATTCTCTTGGCTCGAAATAAAAACAACACCTGTGGCATTACCAACCTGGCCAGTTTCCCCAAGATGTGACTCCAGCCAGCCAAGACGTCCTGTTCTCCGTTCCTTCTTGGATGGTGCCATGTGGAGGTGTATTTGGAAGGGAGTTGAGAAAGTGCTCCTGAAGTGGGCATGCCCCTGGTGACACCTCTGTAACTTTCCCTCTCTCCACCCAGTTCTCCGAGGCTAAGATCTGGTCCTGACTCACTGGACTCTGATGTCTGGGGGCTGATACTGTGCAGATAAACAGTGGAGGTCTCCAGCAGGCTGGAGTGACCTCCCCAAGTCCCTGTCTCCAGTGCCGAGATCACAGACCTGTTCATGATTCTTCAACATATTTGCATGATATAAGAATTGTGTGTTCTTTTCCTTCTTTGCATTTGAAATGAAATATCTCATTTACAATTTAATAAATGACATTGTATCCATACTCACATCGGATATGGTACGAGGCAGCATTTATTAAGTACTTACTGTATTATGAAAACTATACATCTCTGGGATTAAGTGCACCCGAGAAGATATCTCAGTATTTAAAACTGCCATGAAGCTGGGCACAGCGGCCTGTTCCCGAGGTCCCAGCACTTGAGAGACGGTGACATGCGTACCTACGCCTTCAAAAATCAGGTTTTCTTACATTGTTTTAATTTTATTTTATTTTTGAGATAGAGCCTCAACTAGATAAAACTGTCCTCAAACTCACTATGAACCCGAGATAGACCATGAACTAAACTCCTGGTCAAAGTTTTGTTTTCTTTTTAAGAAAAACAAACTAGTCTCTTGTAGCGTATGCTGGCCTCAGATCCAAGATCCTCCTGTCTCTGCCTCCCAGAGATGGCGTTATGGTCTTGTGCAGCGCTGTGACAGGCTGAAGATGCTTTAGTAACAGATTTTAGGATGTGTCGCTGCTAGACCAGTGGTTCTCAACCTCCCCAGTACTGCAGCCCTTTAATGCAGTTCCTCATGTTGTGGTGACCCCAACCATAAGATTATTTTCACTGCTACTTCATAACTGTAATCTTGCTAGTGTTGTGAATTGTAATGTAAACATCTGTGTTTTCCAATGGTCTTAGATGATCCCGTGGAAAGGTATTTCAACTTCAAAGGGGTTGCGACCCACAGGTTGAGAACCACTGTGCTAGAGACGTAAATTAGTACAACCTGTTTTTCCATTTTCCACAAAGTACTTATCCCATGACAAAGAGTTTACAGCTAATGAATCTTCATTGTCATGCACTCTTGTTTAAAATATTTTTTAAATTTAGTTGGTGGTGGTGCATGCTTTTAATCCCAGCACTCGGGAGGTAGAGGCAGGTGGATCTCTGAGTTCAAGGCCAGCCTGGTCTGCAGATCGAGTCCAGGACAGACAGGGATACACAGAGAACTCTGTCTTGAAAAGAAACAAAACAAAACTTAAATATTATACTTTTGAATGATTTGTTTTATAGATATGGTGTTTTATCTCCATGTATGTCTGTGTGCCATGTGCATGCCTAGTGCCCACACAGGCCAGAAGAGGGTGTCAGATCCCCTGGGGCTGGGGTGTGGATGTTGAGAGTCAAACTCTGTCCTTTGGAAAGCAGGTAGTGCTCTCAGCCTCTGAGCCCCTCCCATATCGTAACTCTTATTTCATTCTTGGTAAACCCCTCCCCTACTTTTTTGACCTATAGGACATGCCAGGTACTTTTGGAGGAGCATATGCCTTTAATCTGTGGACCTCTGTGAGTTTGAGCCCAGCCTCTTCTATATATTGAGTCCCAAGACAGCCAGGCTACATAATGAGATCCTGTCTTAAACATATCCACCCAAAAATGTGTGGACATGTAGCAAGCTATATTTAAGCCTAGAAGGATGGAAAATATTAGTTCTGACTTTGAAAATGTCATAGACTGCCACGTGTGGTCATGCCATGTCCTGCAGTTTTAACTCTTTGAAAGGCAGAAGCAAGAGAATTACTTAAGCCCAGGGGTTCAAAGCCTGACTATATACCATAGCAAGACTGTCTCAAAAAACACACAGTTTTAGAGAGTAGAAGATTCCAACACACTCAAATAGTTTGTGGAGATGCATAACATTAATCCCAGCTCTCAGGAGGCAGCAGCAGGTGGTGTCTGTGAGTTCAAGGCCAACCTGATTTATGTAATAAATTCCAGGACAGCCAGGTCAGTGTAGAGGGAGGCAGTCTTAAGAACAATAAAGGAAGTTTGAAAACAGGAAGACAGTAGAACATTAATAAATACAGATGGTATAATAAATACAACCAGGAATGGTGAGAATGAGATATTGCTCATACGGCCAGAAGTAAGTCATCAACGTATTGAATTCTAGATGGAGGCTTTAATGAGCACAAAGAATGTGTGGCAGGGTGAAAGATTCCATGAAGCTGCATGTTCTGCGGGAACTCCTGAGGCTGGTGTGACAAGTACATGTGAAGCTAGGCTGAGAGTAGAAGAGGGGACTCCTGCGAGCCTCCCATAGACCATCCTGATTCTTAATGATTTTTTCTCAAAAAAAAAAAAAAAGGTTTTAATCCCAGAAAGAAACAATAAACCTGCCACATGAGCCTACACTACATTGGTCTCTGTTTGTTCTGCTGTTCCTCAAAGGCGGGGAGGGAAGTCCTTCATAGAAGAACAAATCCAGACCTTTCCCGAATTCAAGTTTAGCAGACAGAAAATACAAAACTGCATCCAGATGAAGCAATTAACATCCCCAAGTATAGGTGTGACAGCGTGTACATTTAACAATCTGCATGGTTTTCATGTGTTGAGGATCAAACCTAGGGCCTCACCATGTGAAGAAGCATTCTCCTGGTGAGTTATATCCTCAGGCTAGCAAATGTAAAAAAAAAAATACACACATATGTCTGTATATGTGTGTATGTTTATGTATACACCCATACATATATTATGCCCAGATCACGGAATGCCCCCAAAACCAACTAGGAGACCAAGTCCTGTAATAATCTGTATATCACCACAAGGTCGTGGCTTATTGGGAAAGATTCATTCAGTATGTCTGACCTGGCAGCTCCATGGCAACTCTCTGACTCTGCTTTCTTTCTCCCAGAATTCAATTCTGTCTTTTCCACCTACCTAAGTTCTACCCTATTAACTAGGCCAAGGCAATTTCTTTATTCATTATCCTATGAAAGCAACACACAAACAGAAGGAACTCCTACACCAGTAGTAACTAATGGGAGTAAAAAAATTTTGATCCAGAAACATACTTATTTTTGTAAGTGCAATGAATTCCACTGTGGAATGTGCAGGGCTGGTGAGTTGAGTTGGAGTAAGAGCTCTTGCCACCATTCCTGATGGTTCAGATGCAAGCCTTGAGACCCACATGATGGAATAAGAGAGCTGATGCCAACCAGTTGTCTGACTCACACATACACAATGAATAAGTAAATGTAAAGAAAAGTGACGATGTACTTATTTATTTAGCGCCCATTAATCAAATGTGACTTTCAGTGTTCTAGGTTATGAATAATGTTGCAACCAATAGTTGATATTTTGACACAGACAGTTTAAAATGATGAATTTGTCAGTCTTTATTGAACTCTCCAAGTAGGCAAGGCTGGTGGCCAGTGGGCACTAGGGAATCGCCTATCCTGCTTCCTTAGCCCTGGGGTGACAACCACACGTCTCTCATGGCCCTAGCTAGTTTTTTGGTTAATATTATTTTTTTACATATATGTGTGAGTTCTACTTGCCTGCTTGGTACCCAGGGAGGCCAGAAGAAGGCACAGGATCCTCCAGAACTGAAGTCAGACAGTTGGGAGCTTCCATGTGGGTGCTGGAACGGAATTCAGGTTCTCCCCCAGAAGCTGCCAATGCTCAGTGTAAAGCATTAATTTAAAAATACTGCGGATCCCTGAGTAGTTGCAGTAGCAGAAACGCTGCAGGTCTCCAAGCAGCAGCAGGCAGCAGGCCTTGTGGTGGCAGGTAGCAGGCAGGGGTACCTGAGAGCAGCCAGTCCCAGGCAGGGACAGCGCACAAGACCACGCCCCAGATCTCTGAAGGCAGCCAGAGAGACAGACAAATAGGCATGCCATGCGGAGTGAGGTTGGATGTTTATTTAGTGGGTTATGGAAGGGAGAAGGAGAAGAGCAGAGAGAGAGAAGAGAGAGGAGAGAGAGAGAGAAGGGGGAGGCAGAAAAGGAAGAGACTCAGGCTGCAAGCAGGAAGGAAGATATGCCTGCATCAGCGGATGGGGGAGGGAGTGGACATGGCTTGTCTCTTTAAGAGACAGAACAGATCATTATACTCAGCCACTGAGCCATCTCTCCATCCCTGCCCATGGTTTAAAAAGAAACATATCAAAACTTTACTTGTGAGTATGTATATTTGTGCATGTGTGCGCGTTGCAGGGTTCAGAAGATGTCTGAGTGGAGTATGTATATCTGTGTGTGTGAGCGTGTTCCAGAGTTCAGAAGATGACTGAGTGGTGTATGTATATCTGTGTGTGTGTGCGCGTTCCAGACTTCAGAAGATGTCTGAGTGGAGTATGTATATTTGTGCGTGTGAGTGTGTTCCAGAGTTCAGAAGATGTCTGAGTGGAGTATGTATATTTGTG